TGTGCAATTTTGTGCCCGCACTTTCACGCACGCCAGATGCTCGCTCTGTGCGCGTGCATATTTACCCATAAATGCAATTACAATTGTTCTGCGCATGCACAGAACTGAAAAACAAGATGGCAGCATCAGCCGCGCCATTTGGGGAACCGGTTCAGGGGCATGGCAGGCCTGGGTCGTTGTCGGTGCCAGCGACCCAGGCCGCCAAACCACTATCAGTTGAACCGGTACGAACTGGTAGAAACTCACCATTGTTTTCTATGACATTCACTTTACTTTTTTATGGAGCGCCTCAGGGCTTTGCACTTTCTCCACTCTTTTTTAACATGTACATGAAGCTGCTGGGTTAGATCATCTGTTGACACGGGGAATGGTATCAGTAAGCTAGTGATACTTAAATGTACATCTCTTCTTTGACTTTACCAGGTGATTCACTCAGGTTCTTTCCCATTTCCTAGAGGCTCTAGGATTGAATGGGGGAGATGGGTGATGATATAAATCAAATAAATAAATACTTGGTAATTGAGTGTATCAGAACCTCTTAAGGGAGACCCTTTACTATAGAATAAAATGCTTTTTCTCCAATACAGTTACAAGATGTGGTGTAGTTTACTGCCAAAGGAGGTGGGATGGGGGTGGGGTGCATTCTGTTGTAAAATTCCTGTCAAAATCCCAGAGCAACATTTGTCTTAGTAGAAAACAAGAAAAAGGCTTCTGATGGGTCTGCACTTCTTGAGGAAGGTCTTGTGGGTGTGTTGTCGATTGTAGTGAGTTGTAACAATCCCTTGCGCTTCCTTTCTCTCATCCTAACAGGACCTCACCCAGTAGAAGGATTTGAAATAGCCAAGGTGACTTCCACAACCATTACTGTGCAATGGGCTCTTCATAAAGTCAAACATGACACAGTCAGCAAGGTGCGCCTGTCCATACGGCAGCCAGAGGATGTAGAGGATCATGCTGTAGAATTAAACAATACTGTGACCAAATACACATTTCGGTAAGCAAGAAGAAAAAAAAAGTATTGGGATGGAAGAAGGGAGGTAGTTGTGAATAAATAAAAATAGTCCAGTGTTTCGGGTTTTTTGTAATTTAGCTAAACAGCTGGCCTGCTAGATCACCAAAGATTAGGCCACGATAAACAATTTAGTGAGCAAAGCACTCGTAAAGATCCACTCCTCAAAGCCTCAGAATAGCCACTGGAAAATTGGCACAGCTGCTTCAAAGGCCTTCTGAGTTTATTGGAGCATTACCAGACTATTTCCATAGGCCTAGCTGAGATTAGAGATTTAGCAGTTGTATTTCTTGCTTAGATATTTTTTATGAAGTTTAGGAACCTCAGTGTACAGATGCTTCATCAAGAAATTAGCTCTAAAATTAGCGCTTGAATCCATAATAAAGACGGGAAAGGGAAGACAAATCAACAAGGCTAAGTGGCAAAAAGAAAGGGAAAATTTATCCTATCTGAATCCACCTTTATTTATTTCCATTAAATTAAATATAAAAACTTCTCAAATTAGAAAGACAATTGAAGTATACATGTGGTAGAAAATTGAAACTGGCATTGATTCAAGTATGTATCTTCTATTGAACAGTTGTGTGCATATATCTGACTGGGTAGTAATTTCTGACTCATCAGTGGTCAATAAGGGACTGTGGGTTTTTTTTTCTTCCAAAATCCTAACTCTTCAAGATTTATTCATCGTATCTAATCTTCCATAAGGGACCTTCAACCAGGACAGAAGTATCTTATCCATATGTGGACCTTGAGTGGCCTTAGTAGTGAAGATCATCCCACAGAGAGCTTTGCTACATCTCCTTCTTACGTTTGGACCCGTGAGTTTTATTGAACATTTTCTGCTTGCTTTTTGCTTTGTCATTTTGTAATTCATAAACCAATTAAAACAAGAGAACAAAACAGTGGTAAAAGTGTTCGTAGCCCTCTTGCTGATACCATAGCAGAGCATCTGACCAAACCTTGCACTGTTTATGATTTGAATGATCATTTTTTTGTACAGAAGGAAATAGATATTTTTTTCAACTCTAGTACATTTCTTTGTCTTGCTTTCACATATAAAAACTGAACAAACTTTTATCTTGTACTGTTTCTGCTCTTCATGGTCACACATAATTGTACAGAGAGAATGCTGCAATTTAATAGCTGGCATTAGCTTCAAAATACTGCTAAAGAGGAAATGCCCCCTAACTGTTGAAGCCACAATTTGACAATCATTAAACTCTGCTCTTCATGCAACTTCCTCGAAAGAAAGAGTGTGGAAAGTAAAGGAGGGAATGACTTACCTTACTTGTCAATGACGTACAGCTGGAATGAACATTTACCATTCAGTGTGCATGATTTCCTGCTTAATTTTACATGATATCATTAGTTTAGCTGATGCAGAAAGATGGTTTAAATATTAATTACTTCCATAATTTCCTCTGGAATAAGTTAAAAATCCATCTCTACTTTAAACTACTTTGCTCATTGTTCCTCCTCTGTACTTCTTGTTATGAAGATCAGCACCCAAATAAGTGCAAAGTCTTCATAATAACCCACGTTACACCTGTCCTCCGCGAGCTGTACTGGCTACCAATTGGTCTCCGGATGCAATTCAAGGTGTTGGTTATTACCTTTAAAGCCCTACATGACTTAGGGCCAGCGTATCTGCGAGAACGCCTACTGCCACATACCTCCCAACGGCCGGTAAGATCCCACAGATTGGGCCTCCTTCGGATGTCGTCAGCCACACAGTGTCAGCTGGCGGGCCCCCGGAGGAGAGCCTTCTCTGTGGCTGCTCCAACCCTTTGGAATCAGCTACCCCCAGAGATCCGGACCTTACCCACTCTCAGGGCCTTCAGGAAAGCTGTTAAAACCTGGCTGTTCCAGCAGGCCTGGGGCTGTTGACCTTATTGTTAAGGTCCAGCCCCGATTAGAAGGAATGTTTGTGTCCTGTGAATTTTAAACTATCCTTTTTTTATTTTCCTTT